AGCCCCAGCTGTCCTGGAACTCACTATGTAGACCAGGCTGGGCTTGAACTCACAGAGATCCACCAGGCTCTTCCTCCTGAGTGCTGGGACTAAAGGTTTGTGCCACCACACCACTCCCCAGCCTTTCTTCTATGCAAATTTGAAGATACCAGTAATGGTGAAAAGCAGAGATTTATTCCCTGTGGCCACAGTGGGAAGAGGAACAAATAAAGGGATCCGTTGACCCCGGTGTCTGTCTTTGGAGTACTGATGTGAACTTTAGGCTTAAACAAGGGAAGAATTGGGGCAGAGGGCAAGAGGTCTGCCTAGTAAGGAGTCCTGGGCAGGGTGTGGCCTGGTTGGTGATTGTCCCAGTTCTGGTTCTGCAAGGTAGTCTACAGAAGTCCCTTCTCTGTCATCATCTGAAGAGTTCAGTCTGGTTCCCACAGGCTGTTCACTTCTGCTCCGGAACAGTCTGGCTTTCATGAATAATCATGCTCATCTGGTATGGGGGTCCTGTCCTTCGAGGTTTTATTATTCAAAAAAATCCAAGCAGACTCAAGAGGAAAGATTAAGGACAGGGATTTAATCTCTGTGCAGTAAAGAAGACAGACACCAAGCAAAGGCCTTTATCCTGCTGTGGGCCGAGTGAGGAGTCAGTGCTTTTTTATTTTAGCACAGCCGTGGTCTGAGTGCCTGTTTACAGAGGTCGGGGCAGGAATTAATCCATCATTCCACTTTGTACAGAGCAGTTATGTTTGACAATAATGCTTTCCTGTGTTGACGTTCAGATCCACAGAGCTGGGCATGGGACCCAGTGGTAGAGTGCTCATTAGCATTCGTCAGACCCTTGGTTCTCCCCAGCCTCCAAAACTAATAACAAAAGAGATCATTGGCAGCAAAGATGGCGGCCTGGCAGGCTGGCCCTCTGACTCTTCTAAGGAGATCTTATCCTCACATCAAGTTGTAGCACTCGTCTGTTTACAAAGCCCCTGTGGTTCAAGTCTGCCTTCCCACAGTCCTCAGATCCTTTTAGCATAGCCTGGCTGTGGTGGTCCTCAGGGGATGGGTACACTGCCCATCAAGAGGCTCCATGTCTTAAAGTTCACATAGACATTGCACGCCACTCCCACATGTAGCATTATTTTGATAAATGTTTTAATAGTACTTTTGTTGATTCTTTGAGAATTTCATGCAATGTATTTTGATCAAATCTCCATGTTTTAAAGTATGGTCCCTCTTAGTTAAATTACCATGGTCTGTTCCCCTCTAATTTCCTTCACAAATATGTGCAAAACTAGTGTAAATGCTGGGCATAAGATGGTAAGGTAGAGTCTCTCTTCTGTTGAGACTTCCTACCCAGTCTCAGTATAAATAACACGGGGCATAGTTCGTATTGTCTTCAGTCAAGACAATGCCCTGCTGAAGAACGTTGGTTTTTCTGGGAGAATTCACTGAAGTGTGTTGCTCAACTTTTAAGCCCCATACTTTGAACAGTGGATACCCCTTAGGTAACCTTCACCTAGCATGGCCCTCAGCACCGTACAGGTATGCTAGCCTCCCTCAGCTGTGACTCTTGTTCTTCCTGAACCTTTACCCCTCTTTTCCTGACAGCAGGAAATAGACCATGTCTTGGTTATTTTCCCTCACTGTGACCAAAATACCTGACATAAACCATTGAGGTAGGAAGAGTTTATTTTGGCTTACCGTTTCTGTGTTAGCCCCATGAGCTTGGGCAGAATCTCTTGGTGGTAGGAAAGTGTTAAGGATGTTTGTTACCTCCCAGCATACAGGAAGCTGGGAAAAGGGCTTACAGAAATGGGCCAGGACAAGATGGTGCTGTGGGGACCAGTGCCCAGTGACTTGCTTCTTCCATCCAGACTCCTCCCCCTAAAGTTTCCAGAACCTCCCAAAATAACCAAAGGACCAGATCCCTAGCATATGAACCTTTTATGGGATCACTTCATATCTAAACCATAATAGATTGCCATTAGCTCCATCCCACCCTAAACATAATAAATCTCCTCCCCCGAGTGCCTAATGGAATACACACACACACACACACACACACACACACACACACACACAGAGTCTATAATGGGTCACCTCCCCCGGATACCCATGGTGCTTCCTTAAGTCTCCTTTGACATATGTTTCCCATTGTTTTTTTTTTTTCTTTGACCAAGCATTTTAATTGGTCTCTGTCATCAGTGCCTAGCATGTGTAGATTGAATTTATTTATTTCTTTATTTACAATGCTGAGAATGACACCCAAATCCTCAGCAATATAAAAACACAAAATTCACTCTTTTTTGTCTTTTTGAGATGGTCTCCCTGTAGCCCCAGCTGTCCTGGAACTCACTATGTAGACCAGGCTGGCCTCGAACTCACAGAGATCTGCCTGCCTCTGCCTCCCGAGTGCTGGGATTAAAGGCCTGCGCCACCATGCCCAGCTAGTCAACTGCTTTTACCACTGAGTTACAGCCCAGCCCCTACTGGAACAATTTCTGAATCAGCTTCTAAAGATATGGGCTGTCCTTAAGTTCAGGTTGTGCTCGAGACCCCGTTTCTCATACCCCTTTCAATTCATACACGTGTTAGATCCAATAGACAAGTTGTCACAATTTTTTAAGTTTCATCTTATTTATTGTTACTAATGTGTGTATAATACCTGTGTGTATGAGTGCTGGATGTAGTATCACGTGCATGTGTGAGGAGATAGTAAGAGGACAACTTTCGGGAGTCAGTTTTCTCCTTCCCTTTTGGGTTCAAGGGACCAAATTACAATTTTTATTTTGTATATTTGGATTATAACCTCTCATCTTTAACAGAAAGGAGAGAATGAGAGAGATCTTTGTGTAAAAGTAAAAAATCAGAAGTTAGCCGGGCATGGTGGCGCACGCCTTTAATCCCAGCACTGGGAGGCAGAGGCAGGCGGATCTCTGTGAGTTCAAGGCCAGCCTGGTCTACATAGTGAGTTCCAGGACAGCTGGGGCTACAGGGAAACCCATCTCAAAAAGTCCAAAAAAAAAAAAAAAATCAGAAGTTACTCAGGTCCTATTTTGATTTGATTTTTTTTCCCCTCCAATAAAAGAAAGATTAGCCCTTGAAGCCTTGAGGGCCCTAGGGGGTGTATCAGGACTTTGTGCTGGGCATGTTCTCCAATCCCAGCTAAGTCTGGGTTCATTTAGAGGTTGTCAGCATTGACCCATCTCATGCCCTGTTGAAAACTACCACCAGCATGCATACACCTAGATGACTGGCCTGCAGCACCCTGGGGTCCCCTCCTGGCAGCAGTGGTGGTCTTTGGGATAACTAGTGATGTCTGGAAGTTAATGTGGAAGAAGGAGACCTCTGTGTTTCTGTTTATTCTTTTTTTTCAAAAGTTTTTATTTTTACTTAGGTGTATATGTGTCTATGGGGGTAGGGGTACACTTGACCACAGTTCCCATGGAGGCCAAAGAAGGTGTGGGATCCCCCGGAGTTGGAGTTACAGGCTGTTGTGAACCACCTGACACAGGGTGCCGGGACTCTCAGGTCCTCTACAAGAACAGCTCATTCTCTTAACTGCTGAGCTATCATCCAGCCCCACTATTTGTTCTTATATGCTCCTTAATCTTTTTCACTTAAAATATAACTCACAGTTGGACTAGTGGCACACACCTTTAATCCCATCATTTGGGAGACAGAGGCAGAGGCAGAGGCAGATGGATCCCTGAGAGGTCAAGACCAGCCTGGTCTATGTAACAAGTTCCAGGCCAGCTGGAGCTACAGGGAGATCCTGTCTCAAAAACAAATCAAATATGAAACTAAAGTGTAGTGTAGTAAAGTGTAGTAAATACTTAATAAAACACACCCGCATAACCACTTCCCTGACCCTCAAAGCCTCTCCGAGTCCTTAATCGTTTTTCAGGTATGCCAAATGAAGTCATTGTGAATAACTTGGTTTCTTTGCCTTGTTCATGCCAGTATCTTAGATTCGTTCACATCTGTCTGGCTGTGTTTCACACACTCCTATAGTTTTGCAATGGTAGGTGTGCCACAGGGTGCCTGTCTGATCTGCACCAGTGGGCATGGGCGCTGTCCAGTTTGGGCTGTTAGAACAGCGCTGCTCTGGACATTCTCTTATGTGTCTTGTGGTATCTGTGTATCTATACTGATGCCACAGGCTGTGTGCCGGGTGCGGGTCCAGGTCACAGGGCATGGGTGCCATCAACACCATTTGGAATGCCCAAAGCTCTATGGGCCACTGGGCTGGGTATGAGCCCTGGCTGCAGCTCTCCCTCCCCTGCTCAATGCCAGCTCTTGGGTAGTTGGTAGTGTCTGTTATATTGTGCTGTTTGTTTTGTTTTTTGAAACTGGGTCTTGCTGTGTAGCCCACACTGACCCTAAACCTGCTGCCTAGGCCAAGTTGGCCTAAATTGGTCATCTTCCTGCCACAACCTCCTGAGTGCTGGGATTATAGGTGCCTAATCTCATACCCAGCTCCTTAATGGTGTCTTTTGATTTGGGGTTTTGTTTGGATTTGTTTGTGTTTGTTTGAGACAAGGTCTCTCCATACCTTCTGATAGCCTGAAACTCAGGCTGGCTTGGTCACACCAAGATCTGACTGCCTCTGGCTCCTAATGCTGGGATTAAAGGTATAAGCCACCGTGCCCAGCCTCGGCAGTGTCTTGATAAAGTGTTTGGAGGGGGTGTGGTGGCACATGCCTTTAATCCCAGCACTGGAAGGCAGAGGCAGGTGGATCTCTCTGAATTCGAGGCCAGATGGGGCTACAGGGAGAGCCTGTCTCAAAATGACCAAAAAAAAAAAAGATAAAGTATTTGGCTTTACTATAGTTCTGTTGGTCAGTTTTTCAGTGTATTTACTGGGTTTTGTGTCCTTTGAATCTTTCTCTACTAAAACATTCTTCTGTATTGTTTTTTAAAGGCAATAGACTTTTGCCTTTTAGATCTAAATCTGTAATCCTGCAGTTTATTTGATTGTTGTACACAATGTGATCTATCGCCTTCTTTTTGTTGTTGTTAGGGAACACTTCACAAATTTGCATCATCCTTGCGCAGAGGCCATGCTAATCTCTGTATCGTTCCCATTTTAGTCAGTGTGCTACCGAAGTGAGCATTCTTCTCTTTTTCTCTCCATTTCCTGGGCCCTGCGTCCTAGACATCACAGTACCTGTGTTGAAAGGCTGACCTCCCTCTGTCCTGTAGACCAGTGCTTTGTGAATTCGGGTTCCATCACTCTGCCCCCAGTGGTCCACGTAACAAGGCTTCACAGAAGGTTGTGATTGTGGAACAGCAGCCACCATGGGTCTTCTCTGGGAGGCCATGGTCAGCACTCCTGACCCTTTGGCCTTGTGAGCACATAGACTCCCGTGACCCAGGTCCATTGGAAGCGGCTGCTGTAGAGTGGATTGTAATAGTAATGGGTAGGGCAGTTTCTCCCTCAGTTACTATCACCCACAGCCTTCTAGAACAAGATTGGACTCAGTGACCTCTAGGCTGGGGAGGAGGTAAAGGGGCCTCTCCCACTGCCTTTCAGTGCTAGTTGGAGGTCTTAGCTAGCACAGACATGCAGGAAAGAGAAACAGGGCCAGGGCTTGCACAGGAAAGGAAAACCAGAGGATTTACAGAAACAGGGTCAGAGTCCATGAGAGTTAAGCAGTGTAACTGCTTACAAAATTAATACCCCCCAAATCGCTTTTTTCTGTATTGCAACAGTAGTCTGAAATTAGGTCTTCATGGAAATTTCATCTGCAATAGTATAGAACGTAGCAAATGCCTAAGAAATCTAAAAAATAACGCTTAACACATTTTTAGGAAAAAATTGTCAGACTTTGTTGAAACACATTTAAGGACAACTTGAGTAATTAAAGAAATGATTCATGTTCATGATTAGAAAACTCAATATTGCAAATTTACACTGTCCCCAAACCTGTGTAGAATGAGTAAAGGTTCATGAAGAGCCCAGCCATGACCATGAAGGACAGGTGGATGATTCTTTGGGGGGGGGTATTTTTACTGAATTTTTGTGTATTTCATACAGAACATCTTAATCATCTTTATACCCCTTCCCCTTTGGTGCCCTCCCCTAGCATCCCCCCCACTGGAATTTATACACTCTCTCATTTGTGTTAAGGCCTATCTCATCAAGTTAGTATCCCCAAATGTCCCTCAGTGCAAGTTCATCCACTGGGGTCTAGGCAGCCTATCTAGAGTCCCTCCCTTTAAGAAGATCAGCTCTTCCTCACCCAGCAGTAATCAGCTGCCAATAATTCTTCAGCTAAGATTGGGGCTCGTTGCCCAGGGTGGAGGATTCTTAATCAGATATGAAGATGTAGATGTGAATCTTAGCCTCCGTGCTATACTGAAGGGCAGTGCTGGCAGAGAAGAGCCCTGCCTGTATAGCCACTAAGGCCTGGAACTCTCCGTATAGCCCATGCTGGCCTCAGACTCACCATCCTCCTGCCTCTGCTTCCTGAATGCTGAGATTATGGGTGTGTACCACAATGCCTGGGGGAAATGGTCATATGAAAATGAATTACTATCTTTTTTAAAAAGAATAATGGCTGAGGATATAGTTCCGTGGTACAGTATTTGCTGAGCTTTTAGTGGAGAAACTTGCCACCTGCTGAGCTCTTCTCGAGGGAAATAGACATAAGTGGCGTTCAGTACCTGTGCTGGATAGCTTTAGTGTCCACTTGACACACCTGGGTTGAGGGAGCCTCAATAGGGGAATTTCCTCTATTGGACTGGCCTGTGGCCATGTCTGAGGGGCATCTTCTTGATGAGTGATGTGGGAGGGCCCAGCCCACTGTGGGTGGTGCCACCCTTGGGCAGGTGGGCCTGTGTTGCCTAAGAAAGCAGGCTGAGCAGGGGCCAGGGGAGCAAGCCAGTATGCAGTGTTCCTCCATGGCTTGGGCTCCCTGATGAACTGTGATCTGGGAGATGTAAGCTGAATAAACCCTTTCCTCCCCAAGTTGGTAGTGGTCAGAGTGTTTTGTCACAGCAATGGAGAACAAACTAAGACAGCACCTATCAGTGAAGAATCACACATCTACCCCAAATTAGTCATGCAATTTCACATAATTCTTCCTCTCTCTGTTCTAAGAATGTCTAAGAAAGACAGCGTTGCTTCATAGGTGTGGGTTTGGGTCTTGTCCTTTGAAGTCTGCATGTTATTTGTGTCTCACGTTGAGACCATGCTTGTCTGCGGATGTGTGACTTGCATGGGTGCTTTTGGAGCCACAAGAGGGAGCATTGTGTCTGGAGGAAGGCATGACATCACTCAGAAAGGACCACTCAGGGAGCTGGGGTGGTGGCTCAGTAGATAAAATGCTTGCTTGTCACACAAGCATGAAGACCTGAGTTCAGATCACCAGCACCAACGTCAAAAAAAAAAATGAGTATAGAGATGCACACATGTAATCCCAGTATGGGGGAAGGGGGCAGGGGCAAGACAAGATCCATAGGCTCCCTGGCCAACTAGGTTGGGCAAGAGACCATGCCTCAAAATAGAAGGTAGACAGCAGTGGAAGAAGACCTGCTCTGACTTCTGGCCTCCACACACATGTACATGCACCACACACAAAAAGGAGGGAGGCAGGGAGGGACAGGCACGGAGCCTGTGGTCTTGCTGTGGCCTCTGCATCTAGTCAGCCACTTCAGCATATGTTGCATGAGTGACCAGGAAACAGTGCCCAGGAGCATGACTTGGGCTCTCTGGAGCTGTTGCAGCCACCTCACTGTTAGGTTAGGGCTCTTTGTCTGGGGAAAGCCATTGTATCTATACCTACAAAGTCCAGTCCTGCTGTCTTTCTGCAACTGCAGTGCTAAGGCCTACTCCTCTATACAGTGTCTTGGAGCATTCCTTTTTTACTTTATTTTATTATTTTAACAAGATGTCATGGTATAGCTTGGAGCTCACTATTGTAGACCAGGCTGGCCTCAAACTCAGAAAGGATCTGCCAGCCTCTGCCTCCTCTGTGTACCACCATGCGTGCCCTGCCAGAGCATTCCTTTTAACCAAGACTTACCCTGTAGAGGAGGGCTTGACTTTGAGTTTCTTTTATGTGTGTCTGTAGAGTGTGTGTGTGTGTGTGTGTGTGTGTGTGTGTGTTTGTGTGTGTGTGTAGGCCAGAGGTCAACATCAAGTATCTTTCTCAGTCACAGAAAACTCAATTCCTTTGTCCAGGAATCAGCATACTTTCTAAGTTCCTACCACAATGACACAGAGGGACTATGTAATGCTTTTCTATATCTCCAATTTTTTTTTTTCTTTTTTTTTGGTCTTTTTGAGACAGGGTCTCCCTGTAGCCCCAGCTGTCCTGGAACTCACTATGTAGACCAGGCTGGCCTTGACCTCTCAGAGATCCGCCTGCCCCTGCCTCCTGAGTGCTGGGATAAAAGCCGTGTGCTACCACACCCGGCCCAACTTATTTTTTGAGGCAGGGTCTTCCACTGAACCTAGAGCTCACCCTGGCTGGCCATCGAGCCCCAGGGATCTGCTGACTCCACCTCTCCAGTGCTGGGTTACAGGTGCAGCCTGCTTTTTTCTTTTTAATGGTTGAAGGTCTTTATTACAAAATAAATAATCACCCATCATTAAGAATGGAAGGGTCTAGGGATGCGGTTCAGTGGTACAGCACCTGTGTAGACTGCATAAGCCCCACCCAAAAAAAGGATGGAAGAGCGTGAGAACCAGATACATGAGCCTGACCAAAGCATGCACCAAGTGAACCAGAGTGTGGCCTGCTTTTTATGTGGGCACCAGGATCCGAACTCAGGTTCTCATGCCAATGATAGGTCTCCCCAGCCTTTGGCTTATTGTTTGTTTTCTTGAAGTTCACATGATGCCTTGCACACTGTGATACTTAAGTCATTCAGCCAGTCACATCACACTTTCTGTGATTTAAGTTGAAATATGCACATCACTGTCAGTCCTTTTGTTATGAGATGCATGTCAGCGTCTGTGCTGTTGGCTATTATTATATTAAGGGCTCTTGAAGACTCCACTGCCCAACAGTTGTCTCCAGGCCCC